TATACATATGTACCTACGTCTGGTGAAAGTATTGAAAAATGAATTCGATAGTTCTATAACTATGTTTATTTGTGGGTTTTGCCAAGATATGGCTTAAACTTGATGTGCCAAAAGTGGTCGGAAAGCTTATTAAAATTGGTGATTTTGGCTTGGAAAACCAAGAAAGTCTTATGCGAAAAAAATTTAAAGATGAGAAACTGGAAGCGTTACTCGATAAAGCCACAACACAACCCTAAATATAAAAAATCATATGTGAACCAACCAGTGGTCAACCAGTCACATCAACCGTAAAACCGCGAATCCCTGACGCCAAGCTAATGCTCTGTATTTGATGAGATCAAATGAGCGTACTATACGAGTATTATGAGGTCATAAAAGCAGGTGATGTTCGAATAGCGACGCGGATCGATGGATTACTAGCCGAGCTATTCAAATACGGCATGTATCAGCTTCTCTGCAAAATGTGGTCGGAAGAAAGAATTCCCGAGGATTGGAATTTAAAGCTCTGCCAAATCTACAAAAGGTAAGACCACACAATATACGCTAAGTACAATAGGCCAACAAACTAATTGAACCTTATCAATGTGGTTTCAGGCCTGGAAAATCAACATCTTACCAGATATTCACCACGAGTTAGTCTTGAAAAAGACCCATGAAAAGAGGATCGACACACACTACCTCTTCGTCGATTTCAAAGCTGCCTTTATGCCGCGATTTCTGATGAATACGGCTGAGAAATACTAAAAGCTCCGTCAGCATCCGATACACCTCTCCAAGCCGTTCCCTCTATCGTGCGCCTTCTTCAATCTTCTGCGGGAGAAAATCATTCGAGCTGAAGAGCTGAATCGAGAAGCATAATCTTTTATAACAGTGTACAGCTGTTCGCGTACGCCGAAGATATTGATAATATTGACCTCAATAACCACGCCGTTAGTTTTGCTTTCTCCAGATTGGATAAAGAAGTGAAACAAATGGGTCTGATAGTGAACGAGGGCAAGAATATCTGCTGTGAGTTGTCGAATTCGCGAATTGGCTCCCACGTCGCTGTTGACAGACATAACTTCGAAGTCGTAGATGTTGTCTATCTTGGAACCAGTATTAACACCAACAACAATGCCAGTCTCGATATCCAACGCAGAAAAACTCATGCCAACGGGTGCTACTTCGGATTGAGTAGGCTATTGGGAAGTAAATTCCTCTCTCGACGAACAAAAACCAAACTTTATAAATCATTCATTATCCCTGCCCTGCTTTATGGTACAGAGTCATGGACGATGACAAATTCTGATGAGTCGATGTTACGAGTTTTCGAGAGAWAGTTCAGCGGAGGATTTATTATTCTTTGCGCATTCGTTGAGCTGTACAAGATATATGACGGAATTGACATACYTCAGCGTCATGTCGTCSGAATGCACGAAAACACTCCAGCTCTGAAAGTATTCAACGCAGTATCTTCCGGGGAAAGCAGAGGAAGAGGAAGACCTCAACTCCGTTGAAAAGATCARATGTAGAAGAACCWGGCTGCACTAGGAATMTCCRATTGACGCCAAACTTGGAAGAGGAAGAACGATTGGCGTGCTATTGTAAACTCGGCTATAACYACGTTGTCGGTGTCTACGCCAATAAAGAAGAAGAAAACGATCTTATGGAGTGTAGGAACTCCATATAAAAATCGGAAAATTAGTGGTTATGTAGCTTACGCACGATGTTATGCAGGAAATATATTCAATGAAAACAAATTTCAAATGTTGGAAATGTTAAAGAGCGACTTTCACTGGAACTGCCCTAAGTAATGCCGATCAAATTTTTCTCGCTTCTTTTAGTTGTATTAAACTTAATAGAACATGTCTAACAGCCAACTAGTTAAGRGAATTGCTTAAATTTACGAGTACACATACATACATAAAGGGTCTCGAATTGAATTCCTTAAACGCGCGTCTCCATTTTGACTTACCAGACGTGATATTTCAGTTTTGGCAGATTTTGTTAATTGAGTCAATCGGATTTCGTAGGTATCCTTCAATGTGCGCATATCAGCTGCTTTACGTCTATCAGCATCGCCATTGATCTGTAATTAACAGCGATGTGTAAAGTGTCAAAAATTGCCTTGTGCCATGTCAAATATGGACATTCAAGCGCAAAAACAACAACAACGCGAGGTGACGAACAAATGTTAATTGGCACAGAAGCGCTAGATGCAGACACGAGATCACACGAACGGAATGGTTAAAAAAAAAAACGGAGCAGCGTTTAATTATAATTCATGCAGGTTAATTATATTTTATAGCGGGCATAAATTGCAGAGTAAAAATAGCATTTCGAAAAAGTTTTAAAATTATTAAACGTAGATAAGCACACAAACACCTATTGGCTAATTACATTTGTACATACATATGTATATTGCTGTGGATATATGCTGTTATAAATCGGATTGCACTATCTACTTTATGCCACCCCCTAATTTATGTTAAGTAACACACTTTTGCATGCCACACTATTTGCCATGCGACGACCCCTTTACTAATATTTGTTCTAAACGCCTGCCATTGTTGCAACACCGGCACTAAAATAAATAATAGCACCGTCAACTGTCAAATGCACAATAAATGGATTACTTAATGAAATTAATCATGGCATTAGCTTTCGTCGATTTCAATAAGCCAAATGCATACGGCGCTCACATATATTTTTATGCTTTTGTATTTGTGAAAAATATTCCATTCCATAATCTACTTTGGCCAGCTGYCTTCCATCCATCTATAAAAAGAATTGACCACCAACTGAGTGCCAACAGTTGTTTGGCATATTCACGCTCGTCCAGGTGCGATGACACTTTCGCCTTTGTACTGTATCTTCGGCATCGCTGCACTTTCGAGGCTTGGCGCGACGACGTGGTTTGGCAGCTTTATACCAGCGAATAGCACCATCAATACTGCGCTGATTGAGAATACGAGCAAGATTTTATGTAGTTTTCACACGAAAGTGGTCTATGTTTATTTCGAAAACGGTACCTCTTTCGGTTATTCGGGTGATATATTACGGTATTTAAGTGATTGCGGTACTTCATACATTACATTAAGGTATGGACTAAAATGAAAACGTTATATGTTTTTACTTTGATCTCTGTGGCCAAACTCAATGGTTTATTATTGATTTTAATAATTTCATTTATAATTTTTTAATTCGTTTTCATTAGAAATCGTGTTAAAACCGCACCGTTGGAGCTCATCAAAAACGATGGCATACTAATGTATCTGGTAATGATCTTTCACGACGCCTCGCAACACGTCGACCTTGGCATTTTACGCAAAAAATCCGCAGCCAAGCACCTCTCTCATGTCATCATGCTCATTATGAATTCGGATACAGTGACAGAGAGTTGGTTGCGKCGCACCTTCGCGATCTTTTGGAAAATTTGGTTTCTCAACATTGTGATCATGTTCAGAAGAGACAGTGTACTGCAAATCTACAGATACAATCCGTTCGCCGATGAATTTCTCATACATATACAGCTGGATAACCAGAAATTGCCGAGCAAAGATGAACTCTTTCCAACGAAATTGCCGGATATGGGCGGCAGACCTTTACGCGTGTGCCTGTATCACGATGAGGTGCGCGCGATTTTCGAAGATGAGCGCGACGACCAACACGTTATTGGAAGTGATGCTCTGATGTCGCAGTTCGTTGCGCAACGGTTGAACGCTACGCGTATCATACGCCGAGTTAGTAGGTACGGTAACTTCACACTAAAAGCAGATATTTGTTTCCAAGAAATCGCAAATGAAATAGACGATGTGGCGTTTAATGTACGTTTTTTGGCAGCGCCAAGTTTCTCACAACAAGCCGAATATACGATCGTTCACAGTCGGGATAGTTTATGCGCTTTGGTGCCGAAGGCGAAAATMGCGACAACATTTTGGAATCTATTTCGTTCGTTCACTATTCCCGTTTGGCTGACGATTTTGCTGTCGATACCACTCGCSTATACCTTTTGTAACATGGTACACCTGCGCCTGAACCAATCCGAATTCGATCTACTGCAACTATATGCCATCACCTTAACAATGCCATTAACACGTATACCCAGACGCACTTCGCTACGCATTTTCCTATTCTTCTGGCTGTTCTACGGTATGCTAATTTGCAATACCTTTAAAGGCAATCTCACAAGCAGCCTTGTTTTTCGCACATAYCTTGATGATGTGAATACCTTTAAGGATTTGGCTGAGTCACCATATAATTTGCTAGCATATAGCAGATATACGAAACATTTGGATAATTTTCTGAATGACAGTGAACCAAACGAAGCCATTATCAGACGTAAAGTAGTTGTTGTGCCGGACAAAGTACTTTTGACTGGCATAAAAACGAATAACCTCTCGTACGCCTATGTTCAGAAGTATCACTTTGCTGAATTCTATGCGAATGCGCGCATTCACTATTCTCGCGGCAGACCCTTATACCACGTGATGTCCRCTTGCTTGGTACCGTTTCACGCTGTCTACATCGTGCCATATGGGTCGCCTTATTTGGGTTTCATCAACAAGCTAATACGCAGCTCGCACGAGTTCGGTTACGCTGAGCAYTGGAAAAGCCTCATGAATGCAGCCTTTATAGAGTCGGGCAAGAAAAGTATACGCGATGTGCGGAATGATGACGATCCAGTTGTGCTTAAATTGGGACATTTTCAGGCAGCTTTCGTTATATTATGGGTTGGACTCACAATAGCATCAATTGCATTTGTGTGGGAAATGTTGAAACAACCAAACTTTAAGCGGGTTCTTAGAAGTTTATATTAGTTGAATGCTTGGCAGTAAAAATATGCAAATACTTCGGAGCATTTATACGAATTTACAAAAATAATCATAGAAAACAAAAACCAATATATAAGAACGTTTCACATTTCATGCTGTTAATTGGCGAAACCATGCAAACTTGACATTTTACTCACCATTTTCTTCTCTTCTAAGGCTCTATTCGCTTCTTTCAGCGCGTTAACTTCATTTGTCAGTCTTTGTACTTCATAGTTGGTTGTGATGCCAGCTACGGAAGCATTTGTTAAGTTTTCATTGGCTGCATCTGTCGCCTTTTTGGCGCCGATYAGCGGCAAAGTGGYGTTCTTTTTCAAAYTTTCAAGCGAATTTTGTAATCTCTTYACTTCATTTCGCCATTTTCTTGTCTCTGCTTCATTTTGTGCACTACAATTAAGGAAATAACAAGAAAATTGTTAACAAAAAACCCGATCCACTAAGAATATGTACGGTACTTACCGCAACACACGAACAGCGCCGCGCTCAGTTGTTAAGCTCGACTTCAGCTCGTTGATCTCCAGTCTCAATTGCTCGGTAAGCGCATTCAGCTTTTGTATTGTCTGTACATTTTCCTGCAGCTTGCGCTTGAGACGCGGTGGTGGCACTGTTAYGCCTGCGGCTGCTGTTGCTGTATTCGTGCTCGTCGCCTGCGCCGTCGTGCCGCTATTCGTATTCATCTGTTTATGTGTGGCACTGTTCGTGTTTGTGGGGGACGGCGATGGCTTCGCACCGCCCCAGCGTTCGGCGCGTTGTGCCRCACCAACACTAACGTAAGTGCGTGTGGCTGACTGCGGCACTGGCGTCGGCAGTTCGGTGATGTGCAACTTGCCGCGGCAATTCAGCTGAATTCCCTCGATGCGTGTGCGCTTCTCTTGATTTACCGAGTCGCTGACGGACGTCAATGAAGTGGATAACTTCTTCTTACGCTTCAGTTTATTCTTCACTTCCTGCCACTCGCCGGCGCTGCTATCGTCGCCATCTTGTGTATAGCTTATGAGCTGTGGTGCGTCCGCACCGCCCATTTTGGAGCTCAGTTCTTTGTATTTCTCTTGTCGTTGTTTGACCAGCTGGTAGCTTTCGCTCAGTGTGCTGGCCAATTTCGTTAGGATTTGCACATTTTTAGGATGCGCGCTACTACAAGCGCCATCGCCGGGCAACTGGCGTGTCGCTTGCSCATTTGTAGGCTTTTTTCTGTCGTTCTTTTCAACTAACACGCTGCTAGAGGTCGTTTTGCTATATTTATCTGCCATAATTTCGTAACTACTTTTGTATATAATTAGGTCTATTAAATTCTAAGATTGTGGTAAGTCCGACCATTCGAAAGGTTCTCAATGATTCTCCTTTTGATTTTTTGATTCAAATCACTGCTGCTTCTGTTCAAGCGATCAAATGTTTCACTCTGCAATTGGTGAGTGCGAGTGTAAGCGTTTCTAACTCTCAGCCGAGTTAGATATTTCAATAATAATTGTATAAATATTAATCAAATGCTTTACAGCCGGGTGCTTAGAGTTATAGTCTATTTTTTTTCCTCTTTAATATAAAAAAGAATTTTCAGCTAAACAGTTCGCTCCGTTTCCCCTTTGACTATCCCTGTGTATAAACGCTGTATGTTCTCTTTGGTCTCAGTTCTACGATATATTTCAAATATCCGCATACAATTMTAAATGGCACTTCTTAGGATTCCTTAAACTCGTTTTATCTGCAAAAAAAGAAAGCATTGTATTAAAACCAGTGAATATGTGTGTACTTGTTGTTTGAATCAATAAAGTTACTGTTTGTATGTTTACATAATTATTAAAAACACCATTTTGTGTGTTACTTTCACGTTATCGGGTTTATGGATAAGCATTTTGTTTACCTCATGCTCATTTTCAAGTCGCCTAAAAATATGCAACGATATCAAGTGATCATTATTTGGCTTTGCGATGAGTTGTATTTTGTGTATACATGTGTATTATATATACCATAGTTGGGACTTCTGGTGTTTAGAGGACACACTTTGCTTTGTGAAAATAGAAAAAAGTTAAGTTTAAGGGGACAGTAGGGTAACCTGGCCTGTTTTTTGACATTTTTTTTTCGTAGAAATTTTTATTCTTCAATAGAACTTTTTTCACATATCATGAGGTACATATATCGTGGAGTGTACAAACAAATTGTTTCGGAATTTTTTTTATAAAATCTRTCGGAGAAATGGCTGGGTGAATAAGATTCGTTTTTTCACTGGCGGAGATGATTTCTCACGTTTGGATCATCCGAATCCTACTAGAATCATGAAAAAATGTTGATAAAGCAAGTAATTAACGTTTTTTATTAAAGTTTTCGCCATATTTTTTTACATAAATTTTGTCATAACATTGTCAATAAATTAAAATTAATTATTAGGGACGATAGCCATAGCCATTGTTGGTGGTACATTAATTCTAAGGGTATAGAAGAACAGAAAATGCAAAAAAAAAAATTTAAAAAAGAATACCCTACCGAAAATGCAAAAAAAAAAATTGAAAAAAGAATACCCTACCGACCCCTTAAATAAATAAATGATTGACATTTGAAAAAATAATTACTCTCTTTTCACTACATGGAGCTTGCAAGATACGTTTTGGTACGTTTGCCAGCTTGTTGCGCAAGTCAAGGATTGTCTAGACCACTCAGCTAAATTTATAACATATTCTTCGATTGAATATAAATATGTAGCCAGAGGCATATAAATGCCCTCTCATTGTAGGGTGGTGCCTGTTTTAGCTGGTACATCTACCTTACATTTGCCAGCGATATCACTATGTCCTGGAACCCACTGCAGTTTTATCGTAAAATACGATATTAGAGCCACTAACAAATCAAGTCATGCTTTCACGAACTTTAACGAAACTCTAGTAGACTTCAATAAATAGTATATTCCTTGTTGTGAGCATGCTCCTTGTTAGAACAACAAGACCTTTTTTCATTCCTGTAGTGGTCTGGTAAGCCAAATGCGATTTTGGTATCTAATTTTACTGAAAAGACTCCACCTTCCACTCGGCTATCTAGTTTGGATCCATCCATATAGATGCTAATCCCCGTCTACCTCGCCCCTTTCCCACTCACCCCTGGAAGGGAAGTTAATATTGGAGACCGAATTTAATTTCAATTCTATAGGATTTCAAAAATCTGTGGTAGCGGGTAAAAACGGAAACTTACTAAGTATCATAGAATGCCTTCGATGCCAGTTGGTTACGCTTAAAATAACGCTTAGTTCCTGAGTAGGTGTTGTTCTAAGAGCTCCAAAGATGCATATACTAGCTGCTCTTTGTATGCCTTCCATACGCTGTATCGCGTATTTCTTTTCCATTATTGGCCAACATCTAAGCTTGGTTTCCACGAAAGTTTCCTGTATCAAATTAGTACTAGGTAGCTTGGCTTATCTCCGATTGTTAGCCTTGTACTATTTGACTTCTGGAGCACTGAATTCAATAGTAAACAATACAAGCGCTGTCTTGCTAGCTTTTAAGTTTAGTCCTCCCGATACGACCCAACGATTTACGTCATTTAATATTGTTTGCATAAGGTTAGCGAGGGTATTAGGAAATTTTCTTGTAACCGAAAATTTGAGATATAGGTTTGAAATTTTGGATACGCCATTTTCTCCTCATGTAGCTTTTCATTTATCGAAAACACCGATATTGTATCACTATAGCGTACAGCTGCCATAAAAACTGAGCTATCAAATTAAAATCCTTGCATGGAAGACTTTTTTTATTCGACAAGATRTCTACACGAAATTTGGGAAAATAAATTAGGGAGACTTTGTTCGTAATCTTAACAGTGTTAGTTTATTCTTCAAAATCTGTGTCGTCCACTCAAAGAGTTCACCRTATAAAATTGTACCAACGTTTTTTCCAATCCTCGAAACAGTTGTTAAAGTCAATATCCGGAATAGACTTCAATGCGCATASCRATTCACGTTTGATGTCTCAGTTGACTCAAAACGGTTTCCCCGAAGCGGTCGTTTGAGTTTGCTTCATAGCCAGAAGTCACAGATATTAGTTGAAAATTTT